AAAATCTTCTTATCTTTGTCAAGCTTTTTTAGACTTCACTTCCTCGTGTACATTTTTTTCCAACTAGAAGAGAAAAAAAGAAAAAGAAATAGGAATAAAATGGGATTTTCATAACCCAACGAGCATGAAATTTAGCTATTTTAAACTCAAAATCCTAACATTGGGGCTTAATCCGGTTTTTATTTTTTATAATATTAAATACATTCACTTATTTAATAATACGTGAAAATTATACAAAAAATAATATAAAAAAATTATTCCTATAGCACCACTCTTATTTTAATGATTTCTTTGGTCTTTTTTATTTTTTTGACCAGCCATAGCTGCGGACGGTATTCAAAAATACAAAAGGAGGGAGAAAGTGACATCCCCATTTTTGCCAACTGATCCGCACACATACTATATTCATGTACAATATGAATTTGCCGCATGAGCATCCTACAATCAAGAATTAAGGTGCTGAGAGGGTAAGTAGAAACAGAATCTTTTATGAGAAGAGGGACAACAATCTTTGAGTCACATTCCACAATTAAGTTTTGGAAACCCCTTTGGATGGCCAAAACGAGACCATCTCTAATGGCCCATAATTCCACAGCAAGTGGGGAAGAGATACCAATATTCCTAGCATAACCAAGCACCCAATTGCCCAAGGAATCTTTGAAAATACCACCAAACCCAGATAAACCCGGGTTCCCAACGGAAGAACCATCGATGTTAAGTTTGATGGTGGGAAACTGTGGTTTAGACCAAGCAAACATACCATGACTCCTTTTATGAAGACTATTAGTAGTCGAGTGAGAAGACAAGAATTCGATGGCCCTAAAAATGATGGAGCTGCTAATGGTTGGTTTGGTAATAATTTCATGTTAGTATAAGACATGATTTCTGAAAATCTAGATGCCCTAGATAGTGAAGGAAAATATGGTGCCCCAAGCAACAGAGGTTGTCGGAGCAAGGTCAGTACGTGCAGAATTGTTGTGCAATCATTCAGGAAATGGGGTATCATCATTCACGATAGCTCCAGAGAGAATATCATTCCAAAATAATAAAGAACTAGAGCAAGTCCTGAAGATATGGTCAATAGTCTCATCATGGCTTTGGCATCTCAAGCATAAGGAGGATGAACATATACCTAGGTGTTGGAGAAAGTCAAGAGATTTTAATCTCTCATGAGAGAGGAGCCAGAGGAAATATTAAATTTTTGGTAAGGTGTCAGTCTTCTAGACCCAGCTCCACTCATTGACACCATTAGGAGGAAGCTCAAGCAGCAAATAGTAGGCGTAGGATGAAGAGAAATTTCTGCCATGCCCATGAGCCCAAATAAAAATGTCAGTATCCAGATTTTGAAGGGAAAAAGGTATAGCTCTAATCTGATCCCAGATGTCCGGGGAGGTGGTAAGAGATGGTGTGAGGAGAGGAGTTATCCAAAGCATGAGAGAAAGAGAAAGAAAAACAGAATCAGGAAGGTGTGGGCCAGCTAATTTTTTTTATTTTAAATAATTTTTATATGTTATTAAATATATATAATATTAAAAATTTTAAATAAATAAAAAAACATTAATTATTAAATAACAATTAAAGTTATATAAACAAATTATTTGTTAATCATTTTTCATTCTAGCCTTTAGTTAGGCACACATAAATTTGTTATATTTAAATAATTTTTTTATATTTTATCAATTTATAATTTTATTTCTTAATTTTTTCTTTTGGTCAAATTAAATGGTTTTAATCTAACTTTTATATAAAATTTGATTAAATAAATTTATATAATAAATAAATAATAATTAATTTTTTTTATTTAAATAAAAATATTTAATAAGAATTATCCATAAAAAAATTTTCATTATCATTTATCTATCACATAAAATTATCCAATCAAATTTTATATAAAAATTAAACTAAAATAATTAAATCTAATTGAAGAGAGTAGTTGATTATGATATTTTGAAAATTAAGTTTGTCATAAATTAATTTTAATATGTTAAATTATAAATACTAATTATTTTATTAATGTTAATGATTTAAATAACTAAATAGTAATTTATTTTTTTAATAAAAATAGGATATTTTAAATTTAAATTATATATCATATATATGACTAAAATGGGTGAACAAATAAAAAAAATTATTTTTTATTATATAACTCAAAATTTAAAATAAAAATTATTTTATTAATTATCAATATTTTTAGTAGTCAAATTAAAATAAAACTTTAATAATTCATATAACCATAATAAATTATTTTCATACTTGACAATAACCCCAACATGCTTTATGCCTTTGGCTGTGGTCCAGCTCCAACGAGAGCGAACTAGTGCGGAACAATAAAAAAGTGTTGTCCTAATCCTACTTTCCGGTAGTAAAACTTTCTAGAGTCACGTGGCCAAAATCCTAAGAGGATGTGCCACGTGTACACAAATTCTTTGAAACGGTCAACAGTACAGTGACTTGGCACATTCCATCAAGACACGTGTAACTGCTATTCTGGATTTTGATGATATGCCACCATCAAACTCCACGAGGCACACCACAGCTCCCTTATCCATTGGTGCCTCTTTGTTTCTATCCCACATGGGAATCACTTCAGCTTTCTTAACATGTTTTTTATCATTTGATGGAAAATTTTATTTACATTTCAGAGTCAACTCTTATGTATATAAAAATTATTAATTTATTTAATTTGTGTGTACATAAATATTATTAGTTTTATGAGTAATTTTAAAAAGAAATTCCTTGCAACAATTGCAATTATGCTATAAAACATTTTGAATGAGCTTACTTGTATGACCATACAAAAAATGATATGAGAGCTATAGTCATGGATCCTAAATTGTTGGAGTCTCCAACAATAAGAATTTTAGAGTTACATAATCCATAATATATAATAATTATAATAAACTTACAATAACATTAATTATTACAAAGCTTACATAAACATATAACTATTGATCATATTTATATGTAGAAGACATACACTAATATTCAAACTCCTTTTATATATATATATATATATATATATATATAAAGGAGAAATATTTAAGCTCAAGTCATCACACATAGAAGAAAGTTATTATGAGGAGCATATATAATATGGAGGGAATTGAGGGATGGAGTAGTTTCTCACATATCCCGAACGTGGAAGACATTGGGATTCTTAACGACAATATCATACATATAAACTGAGTTGAACCTGGAGAAGTCTCTTGGGAGTGAGATGAGGTCATTAGAAGAGTGCTTGTGGTATTGCAAGAGGTCAGGAACTCCACTATACCTTTCCCACCCTAAACCTTTCAAAATCTGCTCTAATACAGAGTAGGACGATATCACCTGATTAGTTGGCAAGTATACCAAAACCTTTGATCGTCGAGTGGACATTTTACTAGAAAAATATGTGTGTATGGAGAGTAGTAGGAGGGTTTTTGTTTTTGGGTTGGTCTGGTAGGGATGGGAAAGGGGGTATATATATAGGGTGAAGGAACATAAAAAAACAAGAGCATAACACTCAAGGAAAAGAATGTTGTTTGGCTTCGGTAGAGAATCTAGATATTGTGCGACCTAATGAGTACACAACATAGCACCTTTAAGGTGGGACTACTAGGAATTGAGAATCTTTGGTAGGATTTCATTATTGTTTCGAAAAGTCAATCATATTTGTTGAATTCTAATATACCCATTCACATCACGAGCTGTCCACGTGAAGGGAGTGAAGGAGATTGAGAGATATTTTAATTTCATTTTTTAATTTTTAGGAAAAAAGGGTATATATTTTAATATATGTTAGTGGGTTTGGGGGAATGAGAAAAGGGCATATGTAGGGTTTGTTTGTCGAGTATTCGCAGAAAATCTAAAACCTTAATGAAAGAAATTAAAGTTACCCTTAATACCTTTTATGTTGGAATTTCCTTTATTTCTTCTAGCGTTCTTAGCCACCTTTCTTTCTTCTAGAGGGCTCAAATGAATTTAGGCACAAAATTACAGGCATTACAATATGTCACATATAGGATTTTGAAATTATAACATGATATGTAATTAAATAATTAATAGATGTATACAATATTATGAGTAAATCTTTTAATGAAAAGAATCAATCAATATATATGTCTATATATGTATATATATATATATATATATATATTAAATAAGTAGATGAATAGAATTTTACAAGTGGACCTTTTAATGAAAAGAGTCAATCATATATATTGATACATTATGATTGTAAATACTTTGTGACATTAAAATTTTATTCAAATTGGTACACTTTTGGTTTAACATCTTACACAATATACTCACTAAAAAATCATTATTTTTTTTTGTCTAAAACTAAAAGCAGGCAAATTTAAAAACTTAGCTATGCATATAGGATACATGAACTAATTGAATAAGTTGTATTTATATTATATTTTAATAATTAAATTGAATTGGTGTCAAAAGGTATATACAATTAGAAAGTGTATTAATTATTTTCTAAATGATTATTAATAGATGTATGCAATATTAATAAGCCAGTAAGTAATTGTGAAAAGATGTTAACTTGATGTATCATGGCCAATTCAAAAATGAATTCAAGGACCACAAAACCCTATATGTAGTAATGTATATTTGATCGCATCGTATTTAATCAATTTTGTTTCTCTATAGATTATTCGAGTTAAATTTAATTGTTACATTCCCACATGGTATCACATGGGCTAAATGGGCCTCCACAAACATAGAACCTTTTACAAAGTTCACAACTTCACATCCTTCCTTTGGTCTGACTTGTCAAGTCTATCATTACCTTGAACATTCCCACTTCATGTTAATGCCTACTTCCCTTTAATCGACATAGAAGGTGGTGCTTAAGTTTGAACTTTGATCTAATTAGACTCTTAGCTCCAATACTAATTCAGTTATGATTCTTAGTTTTGATCACTTTGAAGTTAATGACAAGGGAGTACCAAACTCAACTGATCATTTTTGGTTGATTATTAATGCTTACTGGTATAATTAAAGTTATTTTGGCACAAATCATCTATTAGACAAGTAACATCGGCCAACACCTATGAAACATTAGCACTTAAATATATAATTGATTTCTTAAGAGATCTAAAAGTTTTAACAATCAAAAATTAATTTTATTCACTAATTATTAAAAGGGAAAAAGTCTTCAAGTCAAATATATATAGTAATTTATATTTGATTGCATTGCTTTTAATTAGTTTTGTTTCTCTATAGATTATTCAAGTTAAGTTTGTAACATTTTCACGTGGTATCACATGGGCTAAA